CTATCCTTCCCCTACCCCTCCATCCCCCGACAGGCCCCAGTGTGTGATGCTCCCCTCCCTGTGTCCATGTGTTCTCATTGTTCATCTCCCACTTATGAGTGAGAACATGCAGTGTTTGGTTTTCTGTTCTTGTGATAGTTTGCTGAGAATGATGGTTTCCAGCTTCATTCATGTCCCTGCAAAGGACATGAACTCATCCTTTTTTATGGCTGCATAGTATTCTGTGGTATATATGTGCCACATTTTCTTTATCCAGTCTATCATTGATGGAAATTTGGGTTGGATCCAAGACTTTGCTGTTGTGAATAGTGCTGCAGTAAACACATGTGTACATGTGTCTTTATAGTAGAATGATTTATAATCCTTTGAGTATATCCCCAGTAATGGGATTGCTGGGTCAAATGGTCTCTGGTTCTAGATCCTGGAGGAATCGCCATACTGTCTTCCACAATGGTTGAACTAATTTACACTTTCACCAACAGTGTAATTTCTCCACGTCCTCTTCAGCATCTGTTGTTTCCTGACTTTTTAATGATCATCATTCTAACTGGTATGAGATGGTATCTCATTGTGGTTTTGGTTTGCATTTCTCTAATGACCGGTGATGATGAGCATTTTTTCATATGTTTGTTGGCTGGTTTATGCATACTTCTAACAACTTCAACTTTAACCATTACTGGTTTCTATGTTCATACCAGCAAGCAGAAGAATAATAGGCATCTTCATTTTAAGTAGGAAGAGGGCTAACAATAGGCAGGCATATTTGCTGAAATGGGAAGTGACAGTTTGCAGTCTCATACAAAGGAAGAGATGAGAAAAATGACCAGAAGTAGTCACTTCAAGAATTATATTGTGATCCAGCAATTCCACTCCTAGGTGTATGCTCAAGATAAATGAAAACATATTTTCACCCAAAAACTTTAGACAGATGTTCATGGCAGCATTATTCACAATAGCCAAAAAGTAGAACCAGCCCAAATGTCCAACTGATTAATTTAAAAAAAAAAGTGGCATATCCATACTATGGAATATTATCTGGCAATAAAAAGGATTGAAGTACTGATACATGGTATAACATGAATGAACCCTGAAAACATGCTAAGTGAAAGAAGCCACACATAAAGCCCACGTATTGTGTGAGTCGCTTTATGTGAAATGTCAGAGCAGGCAAATTCATAGAGACAGAAAATGGTTGGTGATTGGCAGGTCCTGAAGGAAGGGGAAATTGAAGTATTTCTTTTTGGGGTGGTAAAAATATTCCAAAGTTTATTGTAGTGATGCTGGGAATAAGAGTACAACTTTGTAGACACACTAAAAATGATTAACTTGTAAACTTTAGTGAATTGTGTGATATTTGAGTTATATCTCAATAAAGCTTAATAAAGTTTAAAAACAGTTGCAAATTTGGGGTAATTTTAAATTTTTATGGGGTTGGTTCCATTTTCCGTAAGCCTGGGGGCATCCTTTTTATAGTACAGTAAAATAATCATAGGTTGATAATAGTTATGAAACAGTGTGCTGTAAGGAAAATATTTAATGTCTTTTAGGATCTCTTTTGAAAAATGTATGAACTACTGTCATAAATGTTTAACATTAAACTTCATATTTGAATTCCTGGTTATCTTAAAATGACTCATTTTCCATGTATTTCACATAGCTGAAGTTAGAGCCATGTCTGTTAATGAAAACATGAGGATTAATTAAAAATTTAATTATTTTTCTCACCATTACAAAGCCCAGTTAAAATAATTTTCAAAAAATGTACTTAATTAAGTTCATCATTGTCCTGAGAAAGAGGAGCAGAGCGGTTCTTGGCCAGGTCAGCAGAACTCCTGGCAGCCCTCACCCGGGTGTGCTGGGGCACAGGCTATGATTGTCCTGGGGCGGCGGAGACCCGTGCGCTTGCCTTGCATGCCAGGCAGCACCCTTTGGAGTCGCTGCGATCGGCTGGTATGCCCCTGCCAAAGCCTCGGCTGCTTCTGTCCACCTCTTACACTTCTCCATTTATCCATGGATCATTTCGAGAGTCCATCTTGTAAATGTTTAGCATTTTGCTGCTCTATTGCTTCTTTCTGGGGACAGTTCCAGCACTCGCTGGGCGGAGAAAGGCAGCTGAGCCCAGAGAAGAGCGAAATATGGAGACCCGGGCTAAAAGCAGACATCATCCTTCCCACCCGCTATTTCTGTATTCAGACAGTGGATACGTCAGGGAATAACTTCATGTCTTCTCCAGGAAAAAAGTCTTCCAGGTGAAAGTCTCAGCACCAGAGGAGCAATTCACTAGAGTTAGAGTCCAGGTTTTAGACCAAAAGGATGGGTCCTTCATAGTAAGATACAGAATGTGTGCAAGCTACAAAAATCTAAAGGTGGAAGTTAAATTCCAAGGTCAACATGTGGCCAAATCCCCATGTATTTTAAAAGGGCCAGTTTGCCATGAGAATTGTGACTGTCCTTTGCAAAATAGTGCAGCCTGGCTACGGGGGATGAACTGCTCGCCCGGAAACCATTGCTTACATTCAGAGAGATCTGGCACATTTCCCTACTGTGGATCCAGAAAAGATTGCAGTAGAAATCCCAAAAAGATTTGGACAGAGGAAGAACCTGTGTCACTACACCTTAAAAGGTAACAAAGTTTGTATCAAGACTCACGGTGAACATAGAGGTTTTATAACTTTCATGGATGCCATACTACTTTCTTTGACTAGAAAGATGAAGATGCCAGATATGGAGTTCTTTGTTAATTTGGCAGACTGGCCTTTGCTTTGGAAAAAAAGAAATCCAGTTCAAACATCCATCCGATCTTTTCCTGATGTGGCTCCATAGATTCCAAGGATATCGTGATGCCCACCTAAGACTTGACTGACTCTGTTCTCGAAACCATGGGCTGGGTAAGTCTGGATACGATGTCTGTACAAGCTAACATGGGTCCTCCCTGGGAAAAAAAACTCCACAGCTATCTGGAGAGGGCAAGACAGTCACAAAGAGAGACTTGAGCTGGTTAAACTCAGTAGAAAACACCCGGAACTCATAGACGCTGCTTTCACCAACTTTTTCTTCTTTAAACATGATGAAAGCCTGTGTGGTCCCATTGTGAAACATATTTCATTTTTTGATTTCTTCAAGCGTAAGTATCACATATCTATGGCACCGTAGCAGCTTATCACCTGCCATGTTTACTAGTTAGTGACAGTGCTGTTCTGAAGCAAGACTCCATCAACTATGAACATTTTTACAATCAGCTGCAGCCCTGGAAACACTACATTCCAGTTAAGAGCAACCTGAGCGATCTGTTAGAAAAACTTAAATGGGCAAAAGATAATGATGAAAAGGCCAAAAAGATAGCAAAAGCCAGACAAGAATTTGCAAGAAATAATCTCATGGATGATAACGTATTCTGTTATTATTTCAGACTTTTCCAGGAATATGCCAATTTACAAGTGAGTGAGCCCCAAATCTGAAAGGGCATGAGAAGGGTAGAACCACAGATGGAGAATGACCTCTTCCCTTGCACTTGCCACAGGAAAAAGACCAAAGATGAACTCTGATATGCAGAATAACTTCTATTAAAATAATGGTGCTCCGAAGACTCTTCTTAACTAAAAAGAATTTTTTTAAGTATTAAGTCCATGGACAATATAAAATCTGCTGTGTGATTATTTGCAGTATGAAGATACTTTTCTACTTATTACACAATATTCTCATGACTGTACTTTACATTTTTAGAATTTTATAATAAAACCACCTTTATTAAAAAATATGTATACACACAGTTACTGTATCTGGCTTATAATTCTATTGCTTCAAAAATCAAAGAATTAACAGTAATTAACATGTAAATATGGAATCTAAGAGCTAATCTAGGTTGATAGTACTTTAATAAAGCATATAGCAATATTGCATTAAATGGAATTGAGTGAATCTATTTGGCTGACAGATGTTGGTTAAGGGAAAAGAGTTTCGATTACCATGCAGATTTTGTACTGTGGTAGCACAGAACTTGCTGCATCTCATTTCTGTTAAAAATATATGTATATATATGGAGAGAGAGAATTCACTAAAGGATGTGAAGTACTGAAAACATGTTTTAAAAATTTAGTTGGTTCTTCTGCATTTAAAGAACATCTGAAATATAGCCATATTATGTTCTCTACTGTTTAGATGTGGGTAGAGGAAGAACCACAGGATGGTGTTAGAGAGTTAATTCTAAACCCAGAACATCTATTTCCTAAACCATCTCCCCTTTCCTTTCATGACCTTTTTAAGGCTCAGTTACTGCTTTGAAAATGTGTCATATGTTGGGATAGAACAAACTCAAGAAGCACTGAAAGAGAAGTTAGAGAACAAAGAATTATGGAATCAGATGTGAAACTAAACACCTAAAAAGGAAACACTAGTTGTCAAATTCATTGTGTCAACCAGTACATATCTGAATCCGACAAAAACTACAAGGGAAAGCAATGAAGAGCACTGAGTCACTGCAGACGAGGAATGAGTAAAGAGAGGAGCTGTGAAGGAATCTTGATATCCATGGGATTCCTGCTGTCATGGACTATAAAAAAACCATATTCATTGGTGATGAAGAAGAGTTTTAAATTGTTAATGATGAAATTTCAGTTGTAGGACTGATGGCAACTAGGTGATATAAATTTGTGGCTTGAGAGATGAGGTCTGAATTGATCGACTTAGCTACCCTGTAATTAGCAAACAGGAATCGTTGTTTCCTCCAGACACTATGAGAAGTGTAGCTAGAATTTGGAATTACTAAAATGGATTTACTGTCATGGGGAGACTTAAATTTTAAGAAATCTCAGTAATTAAGATTTTCTTCTAGCTTATTGCTTTGTCCTTTCCTGGGGTAAAATATTTGGAAATGCTTGATTCTTGGAAATCTGTACTATGCCCTCTTAAATATGGTTAGATGTGTTTAGTTATGTTTGTTTTTATCAAGTGATTTTAAATTTTAAATGTTAAGCATAATCCATATTTCTTTTTATAACCAGGAACCTTTTGAGGATGGCTTTGCAAATGGGGAAGAAAGTACTCCAACCAGAGATGCTGTGGTCACATATACTGCGGAAAGTAAAGGAGTCGTGAAGTTTGGCTGGATCAAGGGTGTATTAGTATGTACATATAGACTTAATTTTATAGTTACAGCATATCTGTTGGTTATAAAATCTTCATAATGTTCTCATCAGTTCTCAAGAGAACTCTTTTTTCTCTTTGTTAACTGTCTTATCTGAGTGCTGTGGAAAACCAAATTAATAGCTTGTATCTCCTTTGCTTTTGGATATTAAATTCAGCAAAGGAGGTATGCCATTTATTTTGCCAAATTATTCTTGATTCTATATAATGTGTTACTGATGGTATTAAATTATATTTCATTGCCTCTTGTGATTTTCGTGCACTGTCACTTTTCAGAAATTAAGTATGAAGACTATCAAATTGGGAGCATCAGAATCAAGAAGGCTGAGCAGGGAATAGAGCTGAAATATACCTACTTCCTTTCATACTACACCCATTATGTTTTGAGGAGAAGCGTATAGAAGTTAACAAGCAAGAAAGGAATACAGGAGAAATACTTAAGTGTTGAGTTCGCTTTGTTGCATAGGTTTAGGTGGTTAAGGTTCAGATTTACTTCTGTTTTTCTATGTTTGAATAGGCACTAACGATCTGACTAAAATAGGCTAGATTGCCTTCTCATTGGGACTTTGGAAGCACTTAATAGGGGTTGTGTTGGAATTTCAGGGAGAAATAGAGGGAAAAAAAATCACAGTTCTAGTAATAATTTTATTGCCTAATCCGTAAGGTGAATGTGAAGCTTTAGGTTACTGTATTGTTTGCTTGTTCTTAGATTTTAGTGTTTTAGAAGACTATGTTCTATGTATGAACTTAGTAAATAAAAGTGAAAATAGAGGAAACTTTTACAAATAATTAAAATTTTAAAACATGAACAATTGGCATTTTGTATTGACAAATATTATGTAATACTTAAACCTGCTGAAGAAATCATGAAATGAGGATGTTATAAAAGAATAAGCAAAAGTTAAACTTGTATTGATAAAAGGGAATGTGCACTACTTTTTTAAAGGGCTGAATTTTTATATTATTTCTTGTATCTTGTTCTGTTGCTTCTGCTGCTTCACACAATTGTGATGAGTGCATTTATTTTCATACACACTCTTATATGTTACACGGTGTTTATATTAGCTCAAAAGTAAGCTCTTACTAAGCTCTTTATAAAAAACTGTTAAAGAAAAGGGTGGAGTAGGAGTTAGATTTAAAACTATGCATGTCATTCTACTTTGGCTGGTTTAATGCTTACTATATAATGTTTGATTATTCTTCTTTCTCTGTGACATGGCCTCTTTTTCCCTCTTAGGTACGTTGTATGTTAAACATTTGGGGTGTGATGCTCTTCATTAGATTGTCATGGATTGTGGGTCAAGCTGGAATAGGTAAGTGAAGTTATATCCTGCTTGATTTGAGAATAAGCAAAATAACTGTGTCTGAGCTCTTAACCTGATAAAACTCAAGAAATTAGAGTCATTTTGAACTACGTTTTCCTGTATATCAGATTGTTGTCTTAATGTTCCTTTTTTCATAATTCTGATTTGGTTTTTCTAAAATGACATCAAAATTGGGTAATTTATAACTTAAAATGTAAATTCAGCGTTCTTAGACCAACCAGTTTTAGGTAACGACGGGCTTCAACAAGAGTGTAAGTATTCTCACGATCTTTTTTTTCTCCATAAAGGTCTATCAGTCCTTGTAATAATGATGGCCACTGTTGTGACAACTATCACAGGATTGTCTACTTCAGCAATAGCAACTAATGGATTTGTAAGAGGAGGTAAATTGAATCTTTTTGTATCGTCATCATCAGATTACTCTTACTAAACAGAAATCTAAATTGTATTTTTAATTATTTTTTACTTTAACTGAAGCAACATATTAAGTCTATATAGACAAGTAAGTTGCTACTGAGCACTTCCAGACTAGTATATTTCAATGTAAAATTTTATATCAACTCATACAGGTATGCTTTAAGTTATTCAGAGTGTCCCGTAGCAAGAATGGAGCATCTACTTTGGTCTCTTATCCAGTGGGCTGCTTCTTAATTGCCTCCTCCAAGGCTTGCCCTTGGATCATTCAGCAACATGCTCCTGGCATTTGTTCAACATTGTAATGGGGTAACCTCATTCCCCACCTCCATCCCCTATTGAGGGAAACTGAAGCAGTATACCTTCCCCATGATCTAATACAGTTGTGTGAGCTATACCTGGGACTGTAAATTAATTAATTAATTTGGAGATGGAGTCTTACTCTGTCACCCAGGCTGGAGTGCAGTGGCGTGATCTTGGCTCATTGCAACCTCTGCCTCCCAGGTTTAAGTGATTCTTCTGCCTCAGCCTCCTAAGTAGCTAGGATTACAGACATGCACCACCACGCCCAGCTGAATTTTGTATTTTTAGTAGAGACAGGGTTTTGCCATGTTGGCCAGGCTGGGCTCGAACTCCTGACCTCAGGTGATTTGCCTGCCTTGACCTCCCAAAGTGCTGGGATTACAGATGTGAGCCACTGCACCTGACGCTGGGACTTTAAATTCATACTTTCAAGTCTAGCTTTCTGTGGGCACTATGAGACCTCTCCTTAGAGTCTATAAGATCTGCCTTGTGAGATTTTTACCCTCCCTAGGAAGAGGACCTAAGAGAGTACAGGAGAATGGAATCAGGATCCCTAAAAACAAGAAGAAAATAATTCCATTTTCCAAATCAAAATTCCTCAGTCAGAGTAAGAAGATCCCTGGAGAAAGGAGACAGAATGTCTGCCAGCACCTGTAAAGTCGTGGTAGCAAATCAACTGAGAAAAGATCTATTTCATCTGCCTGAACTATTTTGAATATCCCTGTTTGACATTATGTAACACAATTTCCATTTTACCTGCATCAAGTATTTGGGTGTGGAAGGAAAAGAGAGAGAGAACCAGATTGAGCTTTTGATTTTTCACCATCGTCTTTATATATTTTAGACACCAGAGGATCCAAATCACTAAGACCCTTGGAGGCTGGTGTCTTGTATCAATATGATTATGACTATGCTGAGCATGCATCACTGTTGACTGAAGTTTTATGCTTCTGTTAGCCTGGATTGAGCTATATTGGGATATACGATGCGGATATGTTCAGCAGAGTTAGTCAGATAATGCTGAGAGATACTTTTTGGCTTCTCGTGAACTGGGTACTCCATGTGTCATTTCTCTCTGCCACAACTGGGGAATGAAAGTGGGAAGAGAAATGGACTGGGCTGTTACGTATTTGTTGGGGATCAGCAAATCATCAAATAATTTATCCTTTTCCTCAGACCTTAGAAACTAGGCTGTGAGCCTCAAAAGGAATGAGGCATGAAGCCACTGGCAACATTAACTTCACACTTTTCCCCCATTTGAATCAGACTTTTGGAAGGTAGAGATTTTGCAAGATTGTGACCAAAAAGCCATTTCATTTTTCAATACCATTGGTAGTTTACATATCTATATATCTGTCTATCTATATCTCTCTCTCTCTTTACAAATACATTTCCCTCGTAGACTTTGTGTGCAGTCTTCTGTCCTGGAGTGCCAGGGAAAGTATGAGAATGTGGAACCCACACAGATCTGTCCCAAAAAATGACTATATATTGTAATTTTACATGAGTTTCCTGAAAAATCTGTTCACAAAGGAAGAACCTAGAGGCTAAAAACCATTTGAAATTCTGTTATGAGGTGTTCATACAATTGAGAACGTGATACATTTGCTGAAATAATGAAACCCATAGAAGATAAGAGAGAAAGTTATTAATTTAAAGAATGACCAAATACTATGAAGCTTTCTTAGAAGGTATTCATTTTTCACTTAGTGACTTTGGACATCTGGATGATCTTTATAGAATATATATGAGCTGCATAGTCTGCCATGAGTGTTTTCTAGAGATTCTTTATTGACTTCAGGCCCCTTCTGTCTCCTCTGTATCTGACTCAGATTTGGAAACCCCAACATGATTTATTTTGCTATCATGAAAAAAGTATTTTCCACATGGGAGAAAGTAGATACAGACATAAAACGGAGATCACATTATACCTGTATTCAGGATTCTAAATTGAAAGTATTAGTCTTAAAATTTATACTGAAAGTACATATTTTTTAGCTTTTTCCATTAAAGTGACCTGTAGTAAATGACCAACTCAGCGGCAATAATTCTTGTGCCCATGTTGTGTATTTCCACTCAAAAGAACCAGCGGACTTCAGAGAAAAGATTGATTCCTTATCTGGTTAGGAAATGAGCTTAGACAACTTTTCAGATCCAAAAGTATTGAACACTATTAGTTTCATGTCAAAAGGACCTAAGAGTCAACTTAAAGGAGCTAACACTGGCTAAAGTTTGGATAATTTGAACAACAATAATGATGATAACTGACTTGGATGAAAATATATGAAAATATGGATGTAAATCCATAAGTTCACAGTGGAACAAACCAAAAAATCTCACTTTTCACCTTTGAAACACACTAGGGAACCATCTTATGAAAATTGATAAATAAATAGTGTTGACTCAAACTCCTGAAAGTTTTCTTTCCTGAACTCAAGGTAACCAAGAAGTTGATGAGATTTGTTCTTCAGATAATTACTCTACATAATGAGTGAAGGAGGAAAGAGAATTAGAATATTCCAACTTTGAATGGATCAAAGACTTAAATCTGAGACCTGAAACTGTAGAAATTCTAGAAGATAACATTGGAAAAGCTCTTCTAGGCATTGGCTTAGGCAAAGAATTCATGACCAAAAACCCAAAAGCAAATTTAACAAAAACAAAAATAAATGGGACCTAATTAAACTAAAAAGCTTCTGCACAGCAAAAGAAATCAGCAGAGTAAACAGACAACTCACAGAGTAGGAGAAACTACTACGCATTGACAAAGGACTAATATCCAAACTCTACAAGGAACTCAAATCAGCAAGAAAAAAAATCAGTCCCATCAAAAAATGGGCAAAGGACATGAATAGACGATTCTTAAAACAAGATATACATATGGCCAACAAACATATGAAAAAATGCTCAACATTACTAATTATCAGAGAAATGCAAATTAGAACCACAATGAGATACTACCTTACTCCTGCAGGAATGGCCATAATTTAAAAAAAAAAATGAAAATAACAGATGTTGATGTGGATGTTGTGAAAAGGGAACACTTTTACACTGTTGGTGGAAATGTAAACTAATATAACCACTATGGAAAACAGTATGGAGATTCCTTAACTAAAAGTAGAACTCCCATTTAATCCAGCAGTCTTCCTGCTGGGTATCTACCCAAACAAAGGAAAATAAGTCATTATATGAAAAAGACACTTGCACACACGTATTTATAGCAGTAGAATTTGCAATTACAAAAATATGGAACCAACCTAAATGCCCATCAACCAGTGAGTGGATAAAGAAAATGTGGTATATATACACCATGGAATACTATTCAGCCATCAAAAGGAATGAAATAATGGCATTTGTGGCAACCTGGATGGAGTTGGAGACCAACATTCTAAGTGAAGTAACTCAGGAATGGAAAACCAAATCTCATATATTCTTACTTATAAGTGGGAGGTAAGGATGATGAGGATGCAAAGGCATAAGAATGATATAATAGACTTTGGGGATGCGGGTGGAAGGGTAGGAGGTGGGTGAGGGATAAAAGACCACACAACCACACATTGGGTATAGTGTGTGCTGCTTGGGTGATGGGTGCACCAAAATCTCAGAAATCACCATTAAATAACATCCATGTAACCAAAAACCTCCTGTTCCCCAAAAACTATTGAAGTAAATTTTTTTTTTAAATTCCAACTTCTGTAAAGCTTTTACTTGATAAGAACTGTGAGGTATTGTTTCCCAACAAATTAAATCTGAATCACATTATGCCAGTATCTCCAGAAAGCATTTTATAGAATATGCAGGGGAGAAAGGAACTTCTTAAATGACAGCATAGGGTGATGACAGAAAATTCCAGACTGGGAATCTCTATGGAGCAAGGAATCCTTATTCAAGGCTCAAAAAAAGATGGAGAGGGGAGTTAATGGTTTAAAACAAACTTGAGATTCAATGTATAGTTACGAGTTTTGTTTGCCATTTTAGCTATAAACTATAAACTACACTTCTTGGTGGTAGCAAGAATCGCTGAGTTGGATTTCCTACAGCTCAACTGCTGAGGACTTGATTTTGGCGGCCTACCTTGTTAGGGCTACTTAGAGAGGACGGTAATAGAGCTAGAATTACCCAGAGGATTGGTGTCTTAAAAGGAAACGGAGAAATACTGTGGGAAAAGTGATGTCTGGTGAACCCATCTGAACTTTTTGTAGACTGAAAGTTGACTATTAAGGGAATTAATAAGGAAATAAATTTTCTTAAAATACTATTCAAGGGTTGGGGCACATTGTGGTTACTGTTTAGTAATTTTCATTCGAAGAGACCCATTTTAAATGAAACTTTGATGCATAGTTTTAAAAAATTAATGTTAACTAATTTGAGATAATGCCTGTTTATCTTGATTCTTAACTGAATTATAACATGTATTTATATTTTATTAATTGAATAATGTTTTATTGTCATCTCAAAAATTACGTGCTTGCAGCTTTGCAGAAGTGTGTGAATTCAGTGAACTTTCCCTAGTGTTGTGTACTTATTGCCATAGGGGAGATTTAATATTACTAATTAATTTTAACATTGGCTTTAACAGTACATTTTAGAGATTAAACAGATAATCTAGAAAATTTGTACTTTGTTATTAACTTGTCAACAAATATAGTAATGTCCAACTTTGAAG